ACTCATTAAGGCACTCACGTATTCCTCTCCTATTAAAACACTTGACCCCTTTTTGATCCTTTTTGCGGTTGTAAAAGTGCTTTAGTTCATACATTCCATATAGAATCGGAATTGAAAACATCGATGAACGGTAGGTTGTATAGGCCAAGGACTTAACCCTAACAGTATTTGTTTAGGAAAATAAAAAAAAAGATAAAGCTCTCGGTGTTGATCGATCCCTGAGGGAGCATTCAACTTTATTAGTATCGTTGGGGGTGATTGAATGCATATCTGGTCTTTACAGTGACTCGAGTTGGCCTACCGATGTATCGAGCCAGTGCTACTATCCTCCCAGACAAGTCTGGTACCAATTTGCCGACCCCGGAAAGATATGGAAAGCTTGGAGGCCATGGGCGCGAGGATTGATTCCACGTGTGTGTCGCAGTGAGGTCTCCAACCATTGCGCCACACGCGCCCTGTATTTGATAAGGTTAGCATCAAAAATTCCGTATCTGTGATGGAAATCCATTAAACTCAATTGCGAGTGAATTATTTTAGCTGTGGTTGTACTCGGTACTAAAACATATACTATTGTGATTCCATGATTACTATTGTTATTACTATCACTTCTGTTATTTATTATTTCCCTGTTACTATTGTTGTCGTCAACCATCATTGTTAGGGCGCGTGTGGTGCAGTAGCTGGAGGAGCCACTGCGACACACACGTGGAATCGTTCTACGCCCCCGTGGCCCACCAAGCCCTCCATCCCTTCGGAGTTGGCAAATTGATATCAGACTTGTGTGGGAGGATAGGAGCCCTGGCTCGATACTTCGGTAAGCCACCGCGGGTCATTGTAAAGGCCAGATATGCATTCAACCACCTCCAACGTTACTTAACTTAACGTTACTTAAAAGTCAAGTGCATGGCGCATCCCTCAAAGATTGATCAACGCCGAGAGCTTCAAGCTTTTTTATGACTGTTGCTCTGTTAGGTAGGCTTTTGAATCATCTGGCACTTTTTGCTTTAATATCAGAACAGGTTAAACATTCTTCTGTGGTACGGTAGGTGACATAGCTATGCACTATTCTTTTTTCTACGGTGATAAACTATTGCTGATTTGAATTCATATCGTTCAAATTTGCTTCGTAAGCATATCTTTTTACTACTGTATCCTTTTTCTCAGAACTCTCCATTGAATAACTCCATTTCTCATATGCTCTAAATTGACTTATGGTTCCTATGTATCCATAGAAATGTTAATGTGCTTACCGTGTAAGGATTTCGTCGTAAATGTCACAGTGAGAAATATGTGAGAGGTGTTTCAAACTCACATAAGCCAAACAGGTTTACGCCGATTTTTACGAAGTGCGAAAAGCTATTCATGTGCATCATGCTAAAGTGAAAGTCGGCAACTGGTGGCTATTTCTTTCAAAACACTAAAAGAAAGTCTCATTTCCTTTTTCTCGAAAGTAGTACGATATGGCGATTTTCTCCGACTGTATGTAGAAACGTTATGAAAATCATGGGTCTGCTCTAATGTTGCCATAATCTGAAATACCTATTTGCTACTTGAACGGCCCGTCCTCACTAGTTGTGCGGGGCCCAGCATAATCACCATTTTTCGGAGATTTGCTGGTTAAGCCATTGTGGTTCCCTGGAATCCTGAAGATAGCCCGGCCAAAGTCTGCCATAGGTCTTCACCACCACGGACAGTTGCAGCACTTGTGGATCAGAGGGAGATTTACCACTATGCGATTTTGATAGCAGGACGGTGGTGGATACTGGTATTGGTTTACCCTTAGCTAGGCTTCCTGATGGAAACGCCGGACTCCTTCTCAGCTTGGGAGACCCTGCCGGGGGACGAATCCCACCGCTGTACATCGCAGTCCGACACTCAGAAACACCCAGCCGCGATGAGGCGGTAAACCGTTGAGAGGAATCTGAAATACTACGATGATAATCAGTACTTGTAACGTACATATAAGGTGGAATGAGATGATTTTAACTGAGAATCTAATGATGCGAACTAAGAAGATCGAGTACGACTTTATCAGGATTGTCCGAGACAGGAGACGAGATGGAAGCGGTCATGGATGCTCTGAGAACGTCTCTGCTGGTAGATGATGACCGTTCATGAGCTGTGCAAGAACCTCGCAAGCAAAATTCCATCTATCAGTACACATCTCCACTATCTTTAACAGATATCCCAGGGGGAGATGATAACGTTTTAGCAAACTTATTTCGAGTCATTGGCTACATCACGTCCAATTTCCCGATTGTATCGTTTTTATAACGTTAAGCAATAGCCAAATTGAAGAAGTGAACGGCGTTTGGTTTGATTTCAATGAATGCGATATTCTATGGGAAATTCTTCCTGATGGCTCATGCGCTATCAACGGCGCGGATCTATGAAAGTTAACCAATTATGTACATCTTTTCGTAAGCGTATTATCAGGCAACTTTCACTTTGCCTTAATTTAGATATTCAATTGGCTCAAGTAACACAGTGGTTAGGGGTGCCTGCAACAATCCTTTCATGGCCGTTGGTTCGGCACAGCGCTTCGGGCTCACATTTCCGATACTAGGCGTATCTCATACCATGCATATAAGTGAGGAAATTCTGAAGAGCGATCTATTTAGAGGATAAGCTAATGCTCCTTAATGGCAACCGATAGGGAAAAACCATAAGTGGTTGTATTTAACGGGTTGTATGCCCATATCGAAAAGAGTACAGACATTATTAGACTTCTTGAAAAGGATCCTATAAGAAAAATGTGACTACATTCATATCTCCTGAGTGAGGAGAACCCAACTCTGGAGGAAGACAGTGACGAATAGAGGGTTAATTGAAACCGTATCAACTCGTATCTTTTTTTAGCATCAATTAGATCAGGAGCAGCCTACCCTTGAATACAGTTATGTCACAGGTGATTGCATGATAGTCTTCAGTTCATCTGGTCCGAATTTAATCTCCTATGGTCCTGTGCTTGAATCATCTAGTCTTTTGACTAAGCAACTCCTATTACAGTGTTATCGTTTTATTTTCTGCCTAATATAATTGTTCACGACAGGGTAGGATGTGAAATGCAATCATAATGATGCTGAGATATTGAAGTTTTGCCTCCGTGGTGCAGTGTGTAGTACGCAAACCCCCGGAAAAGGTAATCGTGGTTCGATCTGGTCTGGGACCAAGTTTTGCTAATATCTCAGCATTGTTGTGGCTGTATTTCACATCATACCCTGCAGTGAAAAATTATGGTAGGCAGAAAATAAAAGGTTAACATTGTGATTTCGACTACAACCTCAGCTTAACTGGGATCAGTGCCGATTTGTGATCCCCAGACCAATCCCGTAAACGGGTTATTGCTGATGGCAGCGTTAGGTAAAAAACTAGCTGAGAGAAACGCAGAGCACGGGTCTCCGTGGTGCAGTGTATAGTACGCGAGTCCCGAAAAGGGTAATCGTGGTTTCGATCTGGCCAAGAATCCAAGTTTTACGAAAATCTCAGCACCGTCTTGGTTCTTACTCCTGTTATTTCACATGGAATAGATCGCTGGACGAAATTCCAAATGCAAAATCGTAACTAAGTACGATAGCCCGTGACGTTTGTGCGCTGCTATTAGTCGCAACTCATACGCCCACAATCGATGGTTCATTCCTCATTCGCAGTTTTTCGATAGAGACTGTTGTTTTTCGTCATATATTGGTAGCTGACTCATCCACTAGAGAGCTAGAGCACCGATCTGTCAATTGACTGGCTCTTGTAGTCCATTGTAGAGGCCTAATTCTAATCCAATGACTTGACGAATTCAGTGGGTCAGCATCACAACCGGTCATTGTTATGTCATCAACTCAACTACTTTTGCGCTTTTATAACAATGGTATATTTTTCCTCGGCATATGTTATCACTTTTTCATCGTCCCATTTCTTTCTCCTGGTTGAATTGTTTCTATGCCGTTCGTTTCCGGGATTTTTCGAAATTACTTGATGGCTATCTCATATTGTTTAGCTGCTACTGGCCCTTGGTTGCCTAGCAAAAGTAGAGAGCGCATTCAGCAAGTGAAAAACGACAAGTGAAATGTCGGCACCGCCATACCCCAATCAAGGAGCTCCACCTTATCAGGTAAGAACTGTTACTTAAACTTCATTAACTTGAGTCATGAAAGGAAGTCGACTGTATAACTGTTCGTCCTTTTTCTGTTATTTTTGTTTCTATAGAAAATAGATACAGTGAGTAGTTGAAGCTTAAAGTAAGTGGGAATATTTTTAGTTGGAAAAAACTGGACAATGGGTTCAAAATGGTTGAAAAATTACAGTAGTAGAATTTAAAACGCATGAAATTTCTGCTCTTAATTTTTAGAACGTAGAGGGCTTTTGGACCCTTTTTTATCTAGGAAAATATGATAGCGGGCCAACTTTCCTTTGCTGCCTATTATTTTTTCATGACAAGGTATTATGTGAAATACAAATACGATAATAATTAGCTGTTTGCAAAATTCAGATCATTGCCAGCTCCCAAACCATGATTACACTCTCCGGGGCTCACATGTTGTGCATTGCGCCACAGAGACCCTTGCTTTGCCTTTCTGTCAACCAGTTTTTACCCTATTCTCATAATCCATTATTTTAACCCCTTTTTTTTATGGCTAGGTATAATACAATAGTAGACAGTATGTAAAATGTTAAACATTGTTGTTCCGACTACAGCGTCAGCTTAACGGGGTTCATTACCGACTTGTGCTCCCCACATCATTACCGTTGACGGGTGACAGCTGACGGAACCGTTATGGTAAAGAATTGGATGGAAGAAAGGGAAACCAAGGGCCTCGGTGGACAACATGTCAGCCTCCGGAAAGGGTCATTGTGGGCTCGAAACTGGCAGGGGTCCGAGTTTTGCAAATATCTCAGCATCGTTGTGGTTATGACCGTTGTTTTAGGATTTATTTATGCTGCATATATATACATGTGCATATATACATATGTATGTATATGTATATATGTATGTGCATGATTCGTTCATGATATTAAGATTTCCATTTTTAGTGAAATATGTTTTCAGTGGGGAAACATGCTTTCTAAGTAAACAATTCCGACCTACTTTCAAGGAAAATTTGAAATTTCAGCCTTATCCTAATCCTCCGCAATACGGTCAACCAGGTTACAATCAACAGCCAGGTTTCACCTATCCAGCCGGTCAGATGAACTATCCGTCTCAACCGTACCCGAATCAAGGGTATCCTGGTCAGGGTTATCCGCCTCAACCCGGATATCAGCCGTATCCTCAGCAGCACATTGTGTATGTTTTTAATTCATTAGAACCTTCATTAGAGATGATTTTTAGAACTGAGTTTTTGGACTCGTCTTATGGCCTGGTGCGATTCCGAGATTTTGTTGCGGTTATTTCTGTTTAATTTGGCTTGTACCATATGCGAACTGGATAGTTTTTTCGACGGGATCCAGTTATTTATTTCGATTTAAGCCTGTTTTCGATCTACTGCGGCTTAGCTCCTAGAGAGACACTAAAAACGTAATCGTAGAGTTAGAAGTATGTATTTGGCTTCCGTACTCTAAGACCCTTTGTTCTCTGAACATATGAATTCATTTGCATTTTTGTTTTAGTCTTGAACAACCTCGACGAAGTTCCGGAGACGGCGGGAAATGTTGTCTTGTTGCACTTCTTGCCTGTTGCGCAGGTTGTTGTCTGGCTGATTGTTGTGATTAAAGAAGTTGATGCATCTGATAGGCGTGGCTTCGATTTCGTCTCTTTCATTCACGGTCATCTGCCTTTAGAGCCCACTTATCCTTATCTCCTGACGGCTTTCCGATAAAAATGATTGCAGTAACTCCCACGACCGACTTTCTGTTAACCTCGGTATTGATCAAGTAATTCTTCGTATTTTTGTTGAGCAAACGCGAGGTGTTATTATTCTTTATTCACGAATAAGCTAACGTTTCGGCGGATTTCGCCTTCCTCAGGGCCGCTTCCTATGAGGTTGAGAATGGCGAATTGATGATGTTTATGGCCGTGCTGGCATCCGGAGCAGCCAATCTGGGATTTTGAGAGTGGAAGAAGTAAGACAATCCTATATTGTAAAAGAAAACCATGGCTTTTACAACATTGGCCAGAATTTTGAATCTTTAAGTCCTGGGGACCAGGCTCATCAACCCTCCCACCGCTGCCCACAAGGGAAGATGGTATTCCCTACATATTCTGGTTGCCATAACAGGAGGCTTCTCCAATGTTATTTTGCTGACTAATGATGGAAATACAGCCGCAATTCTAGACAAGGTTATTGCCATATGCTTGCCCATAGGGCTAAGCCTAGGGTCTTTTACAATTCCCAGGAGATTTTTGATGGAACTCAGAAACTCCTTTCCCACCCTACTCGTCTTTGAAATTAACATTTGTGATGTCGTTGTCCCTGTGGACAAAAATGAAAATGAGAATGGTGATGTCTTTAATGAACGAGGTCAGACCTGCTTCCTGATGTCTTGTTTTCAGGATCTTATAAAATTGTTTTGGGTTGAAGCCATCAAATGAAAAACTCTTCTCCACCTCATCTAGCAGCTTCCTAAAATGTTCCAGAGAGGGCTGGTCAACCTTACCTAGGGCCGCTTCCACCTCTATTTCAATGAGACGGAGGACCTCAGGCTCCTCAAATGGATTAGCAAAATGGAGTTGTGCCTCCATATTCCTATTTGAGATTTGAACTTTCTTCAGATGGGTTTTTGCCTAAACTTGGGTAATTAAACCGAATTGATGTTGTTTTTATGGCTTAGAAACGCCATAGGAAAACTTAAGGCCATAAACATTATCGATTCGGTTTAATTACCCAAGTCTTGGCAAAAACCCATCTGGAGAAAGTTCAAATCTCAAATAGGAATATGGAGGCACAACTCCATTTTGCTAATCCAAAACAAGATTTTAGGAAACTGCTAGATGAGGTGGAGAAGAGTTTTTCATTTGATGGCTTCGACCCAAAACAATTTTATAAGATCCTGAAAACAAAATATCAGGAAGCAGGTCTGACCTCGTTCATTAAAGACATCACCATTCTCATTTTCATATTTGTCCACAGGGACAACGACATTGCAAAGATAATTTCAAAGACGTGTAGGGTGGGAAAGGAGTTTCTGAGTTCCATCAAAAATCTCCTGAGAATTGTAAAAGACCCTAGGCTTAGCCCTATGGGCAAGCATATGGCAATGACCTTGTCTAGAATTGCGGCTGTGTTTCCATCATTAGTCAGCAAAATAACATTGGAGAAGCCCCCTGTTATGGCAACCAGAATATGTAGGGAATACCATCTTCCCTTGTGGGCAGCGGTGGCAGGGTTAATGAGCCTGGTCCCCAGTACTGAAAGATTCAAAATTCTGGCCAATGTTTGTAAAAGCCATGGTTTTGTTTTACAATATAGGATTGTCTTACTTCCTCCACTCTCAAAATCCCATATTGGCTGCTCCGGATGCAAGCACGGCCATAAACTTCATCAATTCGTCATTCTCAACCTCATAGAAAGCGGCTCTGAGGAAGGCGAAATCCGCCGAAACGTTAGCTTCCATGTTCTTTAATTGTTCAGTGAAATGTTGTTGCTGTTTTTAAGCTTTTGTTTTCTTTCCTTACCTTACACTTTTTATTGTTCGATACTGCTTAATTACTTAAGTAGCAAACCTAGTTCTACATCGTGATGTCGCCTCACCAGAATTCCTTCTACGTTTATATTCATTGAAACGGAGTATACGATACAATTTTGTAAAAGAGCAATCTTTTTAAGAGTATGATCATACTTCCAGACATGTTTTTCACAATTTTCTCTATTGCTTCTGCACACCGATTGATACCGTAGGCCTTTTGTAGCTATCTTTAAAGGTCTCATTAGAGAAGACTTCTAATTACAGGTACTATTCAATCTGTTAACATTCACAAAAGAAGTTTTGGTTTCACATGAAATGAATAAAGATTGATTTTATTCAAACACTGAAGTACTCCATGATCGATCAATAAAAGTGTTTGAAGACGGTAAGTATTCTCGATTTTGATACCGAGATTTTCACATAGATTAGTCCTACAGATTGAAGAGGTCAGATTAAAGCTTGATGATAACGAGGAAAATCAGATATGCTACCAGAGTAGATTTCAAAAAAGAACAAACGAAGACAACCGTTTACGTCCTCTGCCCATTAAACATCTAAGTGTTGGCGCAACTTTCTTGGTTGCACAGTGCACGTCCAGTTTTTTAGTCCTCACCATATCAACCGCGTTTATCAAGGATTTAAGCCATTTTACAGAAGAGGAGTACAGCTGGGCACGTGTAGCAAAGTGGTCGGCTGCGCCCTGCAATTGACATGGGATTGTTCACTGCGCTCCTAGCCCATCAAGCCTTTCATCCTTCCGGGGTCGGCAAATTGGTACAAGACTTGTCTGGGAGGACAGCAGCCCTGGTTTGATATATCGGAAGTCCACCGTGAGTCATTGTAAATGCCAGATATGCATTCAATCACCTCCAACGATGCTTAATGAAGTCGAATGCATGGCACATCCCTCAGGAATTGATCAACACCGAGAGCTTCATCCTTTTAGCTTTTACGAAAGTAGTTAAAAAAACTTCATGCGGGTTCGTTTTCCGTTGTGATATTTGATTGGTGGCGGTTCGCGTCGTTGTGTGATATCTACCTAGACCCTAAAATGACTTCTCAGTTACCTGAATAGCACCATTTCTTTCCTTCATTTCGATGTCAAAGTCCTAACCCATTTTCACTGAAATCTCAAGATCTCTGGCCTTCATCACATGTTGTCGTCTTCCCTGGTGGAAAGAGATTGATAGAGATCTCTTCCACTCTGGTAAAATGGCAGTGCACAAATCACCTGATAGGAACAATTATTGCGACTTGACATGACTAGTGGGCAAACAATCGAGAGGGGATTTAACTTAGATCACATAGTAATATAGATTATTTCTATACGTCATATCAGCACACAAAGTGCAAATAGGTGATATCGCAATGATTCACTTGAAGAATAGCAAGAAGTGTTATGGAACTGTTTTATGTTGATATATTGTTTTAATTTCCAAGGCATAAAAGAGAAATAAAGGGTAAAGATAACGCGTTAAGGGTCGGTCAATTCCTGAAAGATGTGCCATGCATTCGACTTCATTAATCATCGTTTGGAGGAAATTGAATGCATAACTGGTCTTTACAATGATTCGTAGTGGCCTACCGATGTATCGAGCCAGTGCTGCTATGCTTGCAGACAAGTCTGGTACAAATTTACGAACCCTAGAGGGATGGTATGCTTGGTGGGCCATGGGAGCGGAGATCGATTCCACGTGTGTGTTGCAGGGCGCCTCCGACCACTGCGCCATACGCTTTATAAGAGATCAAATAAACCGTGCCCAAACTCGTCCATCACCGTTAGAGCATATTATACGATTTTGCGTTTTACATAGATGGTCATGTAGACGGTTGCGAACTAGCTGGCTTCTTAGAGTGTTCGATTGTAATTCAATCACTGCTACCGATTTCTCAAGACTGGCCCTCCTTAAGCAACGTTTTACGACTCCATTTATTGCGTTGGAAATAAAGGGTAGGGTAAACGGGAACTTATTTGTCGCTGGGCATATCGCTTGGGGCGTGGTTCCTCCTCTGAACCTATCCCAAGGAGTTAAAATTTCATGGTTACTGGGAATGGCTACTTTTCGCGCTGAGTTCAGGAAATCTTCCCTCCGCTCTCTTTCCATGCACAAGCTAGTAGCTGTTCAAAACATGTTTCTTACATGCGCCCTGTTCGCGGGTGAGAGGATAGGTAATGAACCAGTGTTTTGTTATTTGGTCTTCACTACTACTAGGTGATGTAGCCGTTTCCAGATAGGAGAATTTGGACGTTTCAAAAATGGAAGTTAGTTTTCTTACGTTTTTCTCGGGATAGACTTTGGAGTAGAACACCAAGAATGCAAAAATAAACCGCAAGGAGGAATGCCTCGTTATCAGGCTTTATCTCGCACAATATATCAGAGTGGTATTCTATTGTGAAACAGGCGGACTACCCATCTATGTGAATTCTATGCGGTTAGTCTCCGCGTGAAATACTCAGTGGATGATTCATCGAAAGCGATGTGTATGTGAAGAAGCCGTTCTGTTTATAACGCGATTGAAATCTAGGTTGCGTGATTTTTCATTCGGAGTTACGGAGGTATTTGGCTGACTAAAGTCCAGACAACTTGACCTTTCGAGGCTCTGAAGAAGGCAAAATCCGCCGAGACGTCAGCTTCCGCGAATGAGTGGTATAAGAATACGTGTGTGCTCATCAAGAAGACAGCGAATTACCAAGTCAGTGCTGCCACCTTCCCAGAAAAATCTGGTACCGATTTACTAGCTCCTCTCAACGATTTGCGCCTCATCGTGGCTGGGAGGTGTTCCTGGGTGTCGGACTGCAATGTATAGCGGAGGATTCATGTCCTGGCAGAGTCTCCCAAGCTGAGAAGGAGTCCAGCGATTCCAACAGAAAGCCTAGCTAAGAGTAAACCAATACAACGATCCACCACCGCCCTGGTATCAAAGTCACATGGTGGCAAATCACCCTCTGATCCACAAGAGCTGCGACTGCCTCTGGTGGCGAAGACCTGGAGCACACTTTGGCCAAGCTGACCGTGGGATACCGGAGAACCACAATTGCTTAACCAGCAAATCTCTTAAAAATGGAGATTATGCTGGGGTCCGCAC